AGAGAGAGAGAGAGAGAGAGAGAGAGAGAGAGAGCGCATGATGTGTATATGGGGGTGGGTGTTTGCCATGGCACACATGTAGAGGTCAGAGGACAAGGTTTTGGAGTCAGGTCTTCCTGTTCACACTTAGGTGGGTTCTGGAGATTGAACTTGTGCCATCAGGCCCACACTGCAAGCACCTTCTCCTGTAGAGTGGGCCCAGCAGACTGCCTAGCTGCATCTATGACACAGCAACAAAATGGACCTGGAACCTTGGAGACATGGCTCCTCTAGAAACACCAGAAAAGTACAAAAGGAGCCTGAGCATATTATGCCAGAAAGAAGGTGTGCCCCCAAAATATAAATTTATGACGAAGGACACAAGATAAGCTAAAAGATCTTGAAATAACCAACACTGGAAGAAAGTGATTAGTAAATTAATGGCTTTGGTAGTAGAATATAACTGAAAGTACAAACTGAACACATCACTCCACACTGATGTAAATACATGACACCACACACTGAACACATCACTCCACACTGATGTAAATACATGACACCACACACTGAACACATCACTCCACACTGATGTAAATATGTGACACCACACACTGAAGAAGAAGAAGAAGAAGAAGAAGAAGAAGAAGAAGAAGAAGAAGAAGAAGAAGAAGAAGAAGAAGAAGAAGAAATAATATCCCTTATAGGTGTGCCCAGCCATTTAGTTTTAGTTAATTTCAGACATAGTCCAACTGACAACCAAGAATAGGCATCACACCCAGCAATAAGGAGTGGGGTGGAGACAAGTGGATCCCTGAGGAACATTAGCAGCTAGCCTAGCTGAAATGATGAACTTCAGCTTCAGTGGGAGACTTTGTCCTAAAAAAATGCAGGTGGAGAGCAATCAAAGAAAAACACCCACCCAAACCCACACACACACAGAAATGGGAAAAGAAGTAAGTTCACAAAGGATGAACATGGGAAATAGCTTAACCAAATGATGAAACACAGAGAATTCATGTGGCTTTCATGTAACCTCCATGATGCTGCACCAAGAAGATCACCTCACTTCTGTTGTTTTCTTTCCAAAATCATATAACCAGTTTGAAAATACACACACACACACACACACACACACACACACACACACCCCAACCATCACCACCACCACCACACACACAAGCCAAGACATGTTTGTGGTGATATTTTATTTGTACTGAAATGTTATTTTAATT